GCTACTAACAGATAGTAATGAGAACATAATCTTGTCCTTGCAGATTTCATACAGCTTAAAATCTAATCTTGGGTACACATGTGTGTGAAGTTCAACTCAGAAACACACACTTCAACATCTTCTAGATCAAGGACTGTATGACACTATACTAAATAAAAATAAAGTGAACCACAAAAAAAAAATACGTTTTCAGAATTTAGGATCAAGGCAAACTACCAGTAAATTATGCCCTAGGCAGTCTGATAATATTTCCATCCTAGCTTTTATTTAGTTGCTGTTGATTGACATTTCAAATTTGAAAAAAAATTAAAACATTGTAACCTTTAATTCAATGAAAGAAAATTCAATACCTTCTACAATTCTATCATCAATATCTTGGCCAGTACCATAAGATTCTGTCAAATACCTGTAAAGGGGGCTAAAAATATCAGTATCTTTCATATGTAAGGTTACCTTAATTCAACAGGGTTTAGCATAGCTATGTACCATACTTACTAACCATTTACTAAAGGGAAAGCATATTGATTATAAAGTCCAAATACCTGTATCTTTTAAAATAAATGCAGTTTGACTTTTCTTTTTTGTTAAAATAAAAATACTCTTGCACACTTCATATTTTTTTTTCAATACTTCAAGACACATTAGAAATTTCTTTTAGATATGCATACGGAAATCACACTTTTATATAAATATAAGGAAACTATTACTGTATTATCTGTATTTATAAATAATATTAGTAAACGCATAAGGTTTCATGTGTATTTCCTGAATTAAAGACTGTTTCCACACATACAGTTTCTGCTAGTTCATGACTATTAGTGTTAATAAAAATCCCACATGGAGATGGTGAGATAGGAAATTGCAGGTGCATAATTAAGGTAAGATTCAATTTAGCAACTGAAGAAAGAATTTGAAAATAAATCCAAAGCATACTTCCTCCAAAGTTGCAGCTTTTTTTATTACTTTCTTCCTGCGCACAAGGCATGCCTTCTGGAAATTCACAAGTAAATGTGGGATGAGTTAAAAAAAGTTCTTTCAAATGAGGCCTTCCAAAAAAAACTTAAGAGTACTAACAGAGCTGTATTAGTACCTTTTGCTTTCTGATCACAAAAGGGAAAAACCTTCCTGCTTTTAAAAGTCAGTAATGTTTTGTAGACAGACTCTATGGGGGTGGGTGGTGGGGAGAAGCAACAGCAATGACATTTGCCTGCTGTGTAATCAGAACTTCCTTTGCCGAGAAGCGGAAGAATAACCTCCTTTGAGAGCATCCCTGAGGAGATACTCTCCCAGTGCCTGCAGTCTTTTTTTACTCTTAGCAGGACCAAAGTTAGGACATGCCCTGTAAAAATCATTACCAGCACCTTGCAGTAATTCTTACAGCTATCTATTAAAGGTTCCACAGGGACAGAGAAGAGCAGTATGAAGGACAGACAGACAGTTGTAACAATTCTTCATGGGATGTTGAAGATAATACCGCTACTGTACATAAATACTAGAGAATACATGATGTCATGGAAAAAGGAATTAAAGATTTATACAGGGAAAAAAGGACAAGGGGGGGAAGGGAGCGTATTCACACTGCCTGCACTGTGCTTCCCTGGATAACGAGGCCACCAATGATACAGGTGAATTTAATGGAGCAGTGCTCTCCAGTTGTAGTGTTCCAGAGTGATATAAAGCAGTTAAAGTATAACGCAAATATGGTCAAAACCATTAAAAATCACATAAGAGGAAGCAAGGCTGACACATATCAGCAATATGGCCTCAGTGTAGTTTAATACGCTTGATTTAGTATCAGTCATACATGAACATCAATAAATAAATAAATCACGTTATTCAGTCTTATTCAGTAAACTAGGGTAAAGTATATTGTCGAATCCCTGCAGTCATCACAAAATCAAGAGTTAAAAACTCTGGATACTCAAGCAAACTAAAAAAACTAAGACAGGGAAAACACAGAAATGCGCATTTATGGCAAAACCAACAGCGTCTTGCAAGATACAGTTAAAATGCCTAGTTACGTTTCCATCTACCACAATACCAGATGTGCTATACCAAAATGACTGCATCATAAACCATAATAACTACATGATGTCACTACAACTAAGTTAAGGTTTCTGTGAGTATGTAGCCATTTCCATACATTGTCATGTCAGCATTTAAGTTTAACCCAATGATTTTCTTGTATTAAAGTGCATGTAGAAGCATATATGTATCTTATTGAATTGTGTCTTAAACCTACTGAGTACCTGACAGTTTGCTCTGTCTGTATGTCAACCAAATGCATCAACACAAGAGATTCACAGACTAACATTGGTCCAAAAGCACAAACCTCAGAACAAATTTAGTGTTTTCTGTCTTGCCAGCTCCCGATTCTCCAGAGACTATGATGGACTGACTCATCTTGAGCACTTTCATGTCACGGAATGCTTTATCAGCTTAAAAAGAATAATACATTAAACATGACAAAAATTAATATTCAGGAGAATAGCAAGCATAAAGTTAAGCTACAATGCAAAAATTAAAATGTAACATATTCAGGAATAAAAAGTAAATATCTACAATTAAGTGCATTACAACTTACTAAAGTCTGCTTCCCTTTAATTTCTATTACAGCTGCTCACCCTCTAACACTGACATGTAAAAGCTTCAAGTCTTCAAAAACAAAGACCTACTCAACTATACCCAGGACAAAATAAAACAAAAAACACCACCTAGAACTAAATCTCTTTAATTAAATGTTCTTACAAAATAGTAACCAATCTTACTTCAATGTATTTTTTATAGGGAAATTTCCAGTTGTACTTCTTAACAAGTAACATCTGAGATAAGGAAACTTGGGAAAACATGGGTTTCTTGTTATGCAACAGGTACTGAAAACCTAGCTATTTATACTTTTGATTACAAAACAAAATGCAAGATGGTAAGAAGGCTTTTAACATATCAAATGTTGATTTGTAATTTCCAAATTTTTTTTTCTTAAAAAGACTGACTGAAATCAGGTTTATCCCATTAATAACATTTAAATGCACTTTCTGCTTATAACACAATCACATAAAAAGAAACAGCACATGTGCTCTGGCAACATAAAAGGCGAAGGAAATCACTACACTGAAAGACAGTGCCAATCATAATTACGTCGTTCTTCACTTGTAAAAATCTGGATTTCTTTTTTTCTTTTTTTAATGGTTGTAAATTATATTTAAATTGCTTATACATTAAACACTGGAGGTGCAGAATAATCGTAACAGGGTTCCCAGGGTTGCTACTTTCCAAGTTCTTCAAACTGTAGATCAAGCATGAGAAGACTTGCAATTTTAGCAATCACTTTTTTTATTTTATAATAAAGTAAATTAATTACTGTTACAGATGGCAATTTATAGAAAACTGCAAACAATTTAATGTTTGTTTTGTAAAAGACAAATACAGGCTCAATACATACCAATAGCAAAAACATGTGGTGGCAATGTTCCGAGTGATCTACCCTGGTACTTTTTAATAGTGTCTGAAGAATAAAACTTAGGTATATCAAAATATGGATTCACTGCAATAAGAATGTTGGCTACATAGGTCTGTGAAGAAAACAATTAACAGCAAACTATTAGCTAGTATCCAACCAAGTGGTTAACAGCAATTTTCTATTACTATTGATGACTATAGCCTAAGTATAGGTACATTTACAATTCTCTCCAGCTAATGCAGATACAAGAAGGGATGTATTTTCAGAGTTCCTCTATCTTCTCAGGACTTCCATGAAATTCTCTCAGGATAATTTCCTAACCACTGAGCTGTGGAGTATGTCCTGAATTTGACCTTTCTCCCAATCTCCTTTTAATTTTTTTCCCTATTGTCCAAGTTACTGGATCAAGGATAGGACACCATAACCTCCTCCTCAAAAGTGAGGAAACTAAGCTCCTGGCTAGCTTAACGTGCTCTCCTCCAGTGAGGAAGATAACTTCTCAATGTCTAATGGAAGCAACTCAGAAGGAAGGACTGACAGGATCCTGCCTGGGAACACCCTCAAGCCAGGCAATAAAAGCATTCAGCCGAGAGAAATTAGCTATGGCTGCTTCCACAGCGAGATATGCAGAATGCAAATGTTCTCTCACAGAGAAGGGATTTGAGAAGAATCTCAAACCAAGACTCCTTTTTACCTTTCCATAATGATAAGCAAGATTGAAGATAAGTTTTTTCAGGTTTCTGAAAAAAACTTTCATAGGTTGGTTATAATGGCCAGATCACATACAAGGAAGAACAGATGTCTGAATCGCAGAAAAAAGCAGATTTGCAGGAAAAGGTCTGAAGAAAATCAAATAAACCTTCAGCTTGAATAACTTACTCGGTTTGTTGTTACTGAGCATACCCCTAGACAACTGAAATTTGGACACTATCGTGATATGTTGACAGAAGGCTGGATCACACACAATATATGAATTTTTTTTAGACATTTCTATTCTCAGCACTTATTTCACTGAATGAAAACATTTCTTCAAGAGCTGCAAGTTTTAATATTAGTTTTTCTCTTAGTAACAAGACAAATACTGCTAACCAGCATCAAACAAAAAGCAAGAAAAAAAAGTTGATTCAAACTGTATCTTAAAGTTACAAGGGAAAGGTAGTTAAAATATAAATTGAACCTTTTTTTTTCATTTCTCCAGAAAACACACCAACTCAGGACGACATATTAGTAGTACTTGTTTACAATGAAGAAAGGCTTTATGAACCTAAATACTATCCTATTTCATAACCAGTTCAGATTTAGAATTTTACTTTGGGGTCTTTTTGGTTGTTTATTTTTTAATTATTATTTTTCCAGAACCGCATTCAAATGGCCGTTTTTATTTCTTTATTTTAAAGCTAGTGCTTGATCTTGAGCCATAAAGAATTTATAGTTATGTAAAGTTAACTGCAACAAAGGAAAACAATTATACTTTCTTTTTATATTTATATAAAAGGATTTAACTCCAATTAATTTTAGAACATTACGCTAACACAAAAGTTGATTATTTTAACACAGACACCTAAAAATATGTAGAAGTTTTGCATTACCACTAGCCAGCTTTCTGTTAAAAAGAAAAAAAAAAAAAAAAAAAAACGAAAGAAACCTCTTATCTTTCTTCTATTTCACAGCTGTCAGTGTCCAGACAGATGGCAAGGACAAAATGTAATTTAGTCAGAATTCATTAAATACAATTAGGCAATTTGATAGCAATATAAAAGATTAAGATGGACATCTGAGCTAGGAGGTGTCAAAGACGGCACCTGTTTGCTTCGTTCAAAAATAATGAAGAAAGAAAACCATCTTTGTTAACAGCTACTCTACTGGCGAAGTACATTACCTGTAGGAACAGACCTTTGTGACACAACACTGTGCTATGGTTGCACATGAACAGTCATGTAGAGAAAAATCTATTGCTCTGTGTGGTAAAAACTAGCTAACATTAATCTGATTAATGTGATTCAGATCTCAAATAAGGTATAATGTAAAGAAAAAAACAACCAAAAAAAAAGGTCTAAAACCTTCTAACCTTCCAATGTTACCATTTCTGTTTAGTTTCTGTTACAGGAAAAAACAGAAAAAAACATATTTGGAAACACTTGTTTCGTTGATTTTTTTGAAAGGACATCTATCATTAGACTGGCTGTCATGACATGTAATACTTACGTAAATTCTGTCCTTACTGTACCGAACTTTGATATTGTGAAGGAGAGTGGCCTCATTTAAATACATAAGGGAACCTGCAAGTAGAAGACAAATCATATACCATTAAGAGCTCAGGACTACCTTCATGTACAGCCACAAAAATAAATCTTAGGATTAAGGAGAAATTGATTTCCCCTCTCTTGGGTTGCAGTTTAATCCTATCATTTCTTTGTACTGTCTTGAGGCAGAACTGCTGACTCAACACACGCTTTAAAAACTATAGACCTGCTCTTTACTGTACAACTGGAGTTACACAAAGCTGCTGAACAAACAGTCTGGCTCCAAGAGCCTCAGCACAGGCCCTGCTCAGCATAACTCCCTTTTACCAGCCTTTCAGACCAACACGGTGCATCTCCCTCCATGCTGGCCCGTAAGTGGAGAAACCAGTGCCTCCCCAAATCCCTAACATGGACGGTTTCCTTCCTTCCAACTCCCCTCTCCAGTCTCTGCCTCAGTGTCCCCAGGACAATGTCACCTAACTGACGTTCAGAATAACTGCTGGCTCCTGGTGATTTTTAGATGTTTATATTCACCATAGACAGAAATACTGTCTAGAGGTGGCAGCAAGAATCAGTGCAACACCAGGCACCAACGCAACCTTTCGTGTTTCAATTCTGAATTTTGTTGTTACTAGGCGTCCTCAAAGAAACTGTTAGGGACAAAAAAAATGTTAACACAACAAAACCTTGCTTTATTTTTCTCCTTAGCTCCTTAATATAAAATAACTGAACCGATTCTGCTGACACGTTACAAGGTGGCAGCTCAAGGCACCCCCAGAAAGCTTGACCGTACGGTTTCACATTCTGGCAACGCTGGTCCTTGTTTTCAGCTATAAAGCACTGGAAGGTGTTAGCAGCCTTAATTACAGAGTTCGTTACTAGTTCCCACACTAAAAACATTATCCCCAAACCAACTGAGGGCACTACTCATTACACAGCCTCCATTTTGAAATATGCTCAATCCTTTTTCTCACTGCTTAAAATTCAAGTGCACAACATTATTTTGTCTAGTTACAACCGACTGACTACCATACTGGTAAACCTTACAGCATTAGCACCACTTAAAAAGTTGTATCCATCTGACTACTGTTGATGGAGTAAGCACTGTGCCTGTAATTGTAAATGCTACCCTGTACCTCACACAAGGGCCACATATGCACCTCTCATCTATAACAATCAACAAAGTTGTTTCTCCAGTTGGACCATGTTGGACCAATGCCCTTTCTCCAGGGCTCCAGCAGAGAAAAATGTATTCCAACTTATCTACACAAATGTGCAAGGAGGGCTGCCAGTTCTTATGACCTGAAGTCAACCTGCCCAGCCACCTCGCCCTGCAAGGATGCCTGAAGCTCAGTAAGCAGCTCTCATCATCTCCTTCAAGACAAAAACCAAAAGATACTGCCAAAGGATAATGGGAGCTTCTCAAGAGCATCTGTGTTTTCGTTTTCAATCTTTGACTCTTTATTCCACAGTAGACCGAGGAGCAGCTCTGCCTCCGACCACCTACACCAGGTTGGCCTGAAGCAAAGGCAAGGTTCA